CGAATTGAAGGAACAAAATAAACTGTCGCACAGCAATGAGCTACGTCTACGATAGATGAAACAAAACAGACACTTGAGAAATTATAATATGGAGGAATCAAATAAATCGAAGATGAACCTTACATAGAAATTATCGAAATGCTGTTAGTTGACAAATTCAAGATGGCTTCTGGTCATTCCCTAGTTGAAAATGCGGAGCGCTTCCGGTCTAAAAAATATGAAAACACCTAGCCATATAATCGCGAAATTCTATAGCAGACCAGTTAAAGAACTTCAGGGTATTTGTTACTTTTATGCTGTGTTGTGTATGCGTGCTTAAGTTTGTATCTATGTGAATTGGGCCGCATCTCGAGGTAAAATTATATGTAGTCGGTTTAGAAAATTTAAACAAAATGGCGATTGAGTTGACAATATTGGCACTCAATGTCAATGTGAGGAGTTATTTATTATATTATTATTATTGAGGAACTGATTAGAATATTTTGAATTCGAAATGTAATTAGTTATTATTAGGTTTTCTTCCTTTGATATATATGTGGATAACTCAACGTATTCATATGCATATGCTAATTATTGTATCTTTATTTTTTAATACATTGCGATAACTTTTCTGTGTGTGCTTCCTGGTTCTGTCTCTCCGATTTATAGTGACTATATCAATGGGAAGTGAATACTTTCTCTGTGTTGTCATCCCACACGATGAATAGACTTCTGCAACGTGTCAAACTGTTTTTCAGGGAATGTTAAATAAATGAATTTAGCATGACTAGGTATATTTTTAGCTTTGTGACGGCATGTTTAAAGAAAATGACTGGTAGAATATAATCTCTCAGTACAAAATAATCGCAGTACTTTATAACATATCATAAAGATAAATATATATCATTTAACTGCTATTGTAAAATAAAAAAAATTTAAACATGTATTCTAAACAAGAAATCAATATGAGACGAATTTCTTACCTGTGGTGTTGGTGTATATATTGGTTAAATACGTGTATCTTTCCTGTGTGGGGCCCACAATTCATATTGACCCTGCTGGCGAGTATTGAGAGTATTATCTATTGAAACTAAAATTCAAATCATTCTAATTAACCATCGGTCAGAATAAAGTGGCCGAAAATCAATTCTAAATTATGTAACAGATCTTGCCGAAATTCCTGAATATTGTTTTTATAGTACATCACGGTACGACGGGAAACAATTTCGACCATGACCAAAGATAACAAAACGTCAAAAGCTCAAATGCCAAATAACACTATGAAAATGTCATGACTGTATAGTCTATGACTCCATACAACAGGTATATGACAAATATAATGAGAAGTCAAAAGTTAATATTCCCACTAACATGAAGTAATCAATACACTAAGTGATGTAGTCACTATAGGGGCTAATGACGCAATCAATATACTAACTACTATGATGTAGTCTCTATAATGGCTAATGAGGTAATCAATACACTAACTACTATGATGTAGTCACTATAATGGCCAATGACGTAATAAATACACTAACTACTATGATGTAGTCACTATAATGGCTAATGACGTAATGAACACACTAACTACTATGATGTAGTCACTATAATGGCTAATGACGTAATCAATATACTGACTACAATAATGTAGTCTCTATAATGGCTAATGAGGTAATCAATACACTAACTACTATGATGTAGTCACTATAATGGCCAATGACGTAATAAATACACTAACTACTATGATGTAGTTACTATAATGGCTAATAACGTAATAAATACACTAACTACTATGATGTAGTCATTCTAATGGCTAATGACGAAATAAATACACTAACTACTATGATGTAGTCACTACAATGGCTAATGACGTAATCAGTACACTAACTACTATGATGTAGTCATTATAAAATGGCTAATGAGGTAATCAATACACTAACTACTATGATGTGGACACTATAATGACTAATGACGTAATCAATATACTAACTATTAGATGTAGTCACTATAATGACGTAATAAATACACAAACTACTAAAATTTAGTCACTATAATGGCTAATGACGTAATCAACAAACTAACTACTATGATGTAGTCCCTATAATGAATAATGACGTAATCAATACACTAACTACTATGATTTAGTCACTATATTGGCTAATGGCGTTATCAATATACTAACTATTATGATGTAGTCACTATAAAATGATTAATGAGGTAATTAATACACTAACTACTATGATGTAGACACTATAATGACTAATGAGGTAATCAATACACTAACTACTATGATTTGGTCACTTTATTGGCTAATGACGTTATCAATATACTAACTACTAAGATGTAGTCACTATAATGGCTAATGACGTAATCAATACACTAACTACTATGATGTAGTCACTATAATGGCTAATGACATAATCAATACACTAACTACTATGATGTAGTCACTATAATGACGTAATAAATACACTAACTACTATAATGTAGGCACTA